TCCCACAGGAACTGTGCTTGTCACCCTTGACAGATATTTTTCAAAACTTGGCACCTACTCATCACACTCATGTTTCAGAAATATCCCACTGTTCAAAACAGCACTGAAAAAAGTATCCAGGAAAGATGAAGATGCACAGGAGAATACTGGCAGCTTTGCTATTCTCATATTTCCCAATTTAAACTGAGTGATAATTCTGCCACAGCAGCCAAGATATTCATTCTCAGAATAAAATCCCACTTGTGAGAAGGGTTGCTACAATTAACAATTCTTTAAAAGCGCTAAGTAGATGTAAGTGGCCTGAGCCTCTATTCTCAGCAATGCCTGGTGGGAAGCTGCCGCCTTGGCCGACAGCGAGGGTTTGAGCCAGGAATCTCCAGAGCTAAAAAAACATGCAGGAACTGCCTGACGAGAAGGGCCTTTTTATAAAGGGTTATGCATTATTTTTGTTCAAAGGGAGCTCTTCCCACATGTCTGACAGCCACGGGGGGTTGAAGCTTGAATAAGCTTATGTGATAGTTACCCTCCTGATTGATACCCTGGGGCTGAACTTTTGGTCCCACCAAACTGAAAACGTAAATTGCCACAGCTTGACTAAGAAGCAATATTTTTAGCAGGGGACTGTAACAAATCATGACCTCTGTGGATTGGCCCAGGAGGAGCAATGTCCAAAACACATGCCCACCAGCTGATTATGCCAGTAGCCTCTATCACAAGAGTGAACAACAAGTGAGAACAGGATTGCCTTAGAGCTCTCTCATGCTGATTTAGTTGTAAATTAAGCTGTATCTGAGCCTTATTTAAAAGAAACAATTTATGTAGCAAAACTGAAAGTGCACGGAGAGCTACAAATGAAATCTGAATCTGCCAGTGAAAACAGGAGAAACAGAATTGATCCATAACAGTGGGGATCAATTTTCAAAGGAAAACATTTTTACAGACCACCTATTCTTTTCTGACAGTTTTTCCACAGAGGACTTTAATTTAGGCACTGATACCATAGGCAGAAGAAATATTTTATGAAAAATCAAGATTTCCTTCTTCCTTTATCCTAGAGCTTGTCCTTATATAAGAACCAGTGTAACAAGGTTTTCAAGAGACAGGTCTCAATCTGAAACTAGTACTTGGAAGAATATTGGTTTACACAAAAAAGGAGCATCCTGTGTTCGTCTTCACTAACTATGGTTTACTGGGAAAAGGCTGGAAAAGTTCAGTGCGGAGTACTATTTACAGTGCATTATCTGAAATAAAATATGATGCAAAAGCAGTCAAAAGAAGAGATGGCTAAGTGCGAAATTTTCTTTGTAGTCAGCTGCTGATCCACAGATGAGTCATTTGTAAAGGCTCGCTCAGGTTTCATCCCGTCACCAGCTCTGAATCTTCTGAAACCGTTTCAAGAGATTCAGTTTAGTCAGACGTGCCTCAGTCTCCACGCCACCTTCAGCAGTGCTACACGGGAGAATACTGGGCAGAGTTTTCCTCTCCCTACTGCTTTTCTTTGTCACCCCCACAACATGAGGACACTGACTGTGCCGTTTGCATGCTGCGAGGGCTCTTCTTTCCGTTATGCCTGGAGCTATAGGGCTCGTTGGCTTTAACAGACAGGCAGAGCTGGACAGAAAGACATAATGGGAGCAATGAAGCCAACAGGCAGCTCAGTGGCAGCAGCTGGTGGAGCCCTCCTCAACACAGCAAGCCTCAGTGGTAGCGTGTCAGGAATAACTCAGAGACAAGTGCCTAAAAGCTTGGCATTGGAGAGGCATGTCCATAGCAGCAGCATCAACATGGAGACGGCTGTGCCAGTTTCGGCTTTTCAAACCCGTAACCTCCGATGCAGGACAAGGCAAATGCAAATGCATTAGGAAGCAGAGTTACTCAGCATGAACAGTGGCTGCTTTGCAAAGCAACTATCAAATGAAACACAAATGTACGCACATCTGTGGATTTTGTGGCCTAGAACATTTTTGTTATTGAAACTCTCCTACTCTACAATCAAGGAAGACTAGGAAAGTATGAAAAACCCTTTTGCTTCTATAAGAAAGAGGGGCATTTATAACCAAGCCTGCTAGCTTGCACTCCAGACTTCAGTCCTCTGATGTGTAACAAATGAACTACAATACCAGTATCCATGCCAGTTCTACTGGTTTCCATGGGATAAAATGCTCCTGAGTGAAAATAACGCAGCATTTTCCCTCATCCTTCTCTTGTTCCCTTTGCCTCAGAGAAAGACACTGGCTCAGCAGCACTCCCAGTCTTGGGTACCATACGAGAAATGCTCAAACTCAGGGTCTGAATGCCAGGCAATATGTTCAGCTGCCTCTGCTCAGTAAGTGGTGCCTCTCAGCACAAACAAACGATTTCCACAGTGCCGCAGCCCCTCCTGACTCAGGCTGGACCTGATACAGCACAGAGCTGTTCTGTCACTACACCCACAAGTTACAGCATCTGACATGGGCAATAAATGGACTAAAGTTTATTTATTTATTTGGTTTAGTTTGGTTTTTGGTTTGTTTCTTTTTTTTTTTTTTCTAGTGCTTTGAGCTAGGACTCTAAATCAATGACAGTGAGCTCATGAGTACAGTTCCTATACAAACAAATTCAATTACTACAACAAAACAGTGCCACACATCAACCCAAAATGGTAGTCTTAGAGACAAACTTGTGGTTTGGGCAAAACTAAAAATAATGCCTTCTTCCAGTTTTATATTTGAACTCTTTTCAATCTTCTTTCCAGCATGGTGTACATTTTGACAGTCACCAAATAGTGGCGATAGCTGCAAAGGGGGCTGCCGGTTTTTAGGCACTCTCTTTGTGTCTTCAAAAAATGTTGCTTAGCCTCAAATCATGTGAGATTTGAGATATTTCCCAGGATTAGAAACCTTCCCTTTTGGAATGGAAATACACTCCATAGAAGCCTGAAGCCTCACCAAAATGACAAAAAGAATAATTTCATTGAACTCACACAAGGTAGTCTTCATCCACAGCTCTGAGTCTCCCTTACAGTGCAATATGCCCTCCAGTTTGTGAGCCTCTCCCAAGACATCCAGCCCCTAAGACCCAACTCTAAAGCAAGAAGCAAGCAAATGACAAGCAG